CTACTACTGTAGGCCAACACTCCCTTATATTAACATAAGTCATTGCATATTACAGGGATTTTGACTGGATAGTTCCTTTACCAATTGCATTTTAATATCCTAGGATGGTTAGGGTGGTTTAATATTCAAGGATGTTCAATATGTTCCATACAGTAAAGACAACGTCGCTACTAGAAGTGATCTAGCTACTAGAAGGTGTCTAGCTTCTAGAGCTACTCAATGTGTAAATATGCATTACTTTTAACGCTTTTTGGATATTAGTTTTGTTTTACTTTGTACCTTTGTGTCTTTATTCCATTTATGACTTGTATATAAAGCAATGTAAAGGAGCTATGGGTTGGTTACAGGAAACATATATTGTTTTTTGTGTAAATACAGAACTAAGGGGAGAATTAAAATACAACATTTCTGTGGAATCAAAAAAGATGCTATGACTTATCTTTTTTTTTAAATACATCTTTTTTTATCACTAATGGAGGGTGTTATTTTTTGTTGTTGACAATATCCTCATACTTTTGAATAAATGTATCTTTGTTAAAAATTTAAGGGGTGTATGTTCTTAATATGTTTTGACATCTTGGAACTGTCAAGAAATGCAAACCTTCATATTTCCTTAAAAAAACCTTTTTAACATTTGTTAAAAAACCCTACAATCAAACTGTTGTAGAAAACATACCAGACTAGTTGGGAAGAGGTTGTCTTCATACACATGAACATACATGTACAGTTCTACTATTCTGATTTTATTTTTTAATAAAAGTTCAAAATGTTTTATTTGTATGACAGTTCCTACTTCTTTTTAGCCTGGTCAGCCAGTCTGATATGATCTATACAGTGCTGTGTTCGAATTTGGCGGCTGCGTTGTCCGAAAGCCAGATCGCATGGCACCGCGTTCTGTTCAGACTGGAAAACTCCTTCATATGCAGCTTTCTTTTCACCCGTTTCTAAGGACAGGGCCGCTGTATCCTCCGTGTCCTGGGGTATCCTGCGATCAGTGCGAGTCCAAGCAAGCCGTTTGCTCCATACTTAGAGGAAAAAGATAAATGGTGAAGAAAAGTTGTAAATATTGGAATTAGGAATAATATACTCCATAGCCAAACTTAACGAGTCTGTGCATCATCTCTAATCATAACAGTTAACCGGAACAACAATTCTATCTGTTCTGGTTAGAGATGCTGCACAGACCAGTAAAGTGGGGCTTTGCTTTATAGCTTCACCAGTAAGTTTTATTTATTTAGAGTAATTCTTCATATTCTAGACTTAGATTTAGACAGGTTTATTTTGTCATTTTGTATACACGAGTGTAAACAAAAAGAAACAGCTAGAGCTGTTTTTGCTTGAAACAGCTCTTGATAATTACATTTTTTTAAAGTGCAGCCTTAAAAATAGTACTAAAATTATTAGTCTTAGACATTAGACATTATTCTGTCCAAGAATGTGGGAATTTAATAATACTGAACTTTGGAGAAATTTACCTCTGTATTTAACCCATTCTAATGGGGAACAGTGGGCTGCCATCATGGGTTGCCTGGGGAGCAGTGTGGGGTCCTGCTCAGAGACCCAGAGTGGATATCTGTGGGAGTGGGGCTCGGTCTCAGAACCTCAGGATTTCAAGCTCTATGCCCTAACCACTAGGCCTCCACTCCGCCCCATTCTTTGGAATTGTGCTACATGTTAATTTGCATGTAGCACAAAGACAGAAGTGAACAAAAATCTGCACAGATCTGCTCACACTGCCTTGACGCAGTCAGTGTGAAAAAGGAAAAAAAATCAGATAAGAGCTATAAAAGTCATATACAAAAAATGTGACAACAAATGTGACCTGGGCTATAGTGTCAAAATCATGATTAGGTACCTTTAGTGTCCTCATTAGACATAATAGAACATAAGATTTTCTAACACATTTGCACAATTATAAGTCATTTAAATGTATTATACATTCTTTTCATACTGTTTATTTTTGTTGGATCGTTATATTGGCACGTTCCACCCAGTGCTCTGCTAAATACAGTGTGTTTAATAAATGTTTTGAATAAGAAAATAAACTACATGGGTTTATTTGCCAACAGCCACCTATTCCATTACAAGAGTAATGTTAATCGTCTTTATCTTCACTTTATAATTATAACAAACATTTAGCATGTGTTCCTTACGTTGCTGTCCATTTGGTCATTATGGGGGTATCTGATTTTTTAAGAAATCCTTTGATGGTTTTTACTGAGAGTATGGTACCATATTTTGTCTTTCTTCAAGGAAGGGTGAAATTGAAAAGTAAGTATTTACAACTATGATTTAAATACATACAGCATGATGTTGTTAATCTTAATATGTCCACTCTGCTATATTGAAATATCAATAAAGTAAATACTTTTCAGAAAATTATAACATATTATTTAAAATACATAAAAAATACAAAAATACCTGCACAGTCAGCTCACCAATTGAGTCATGCTGCTAACTGAAGGTCCATCATGTGTTAATTTAATGGTAACATTAGCTGAAAATGTTCACCCACTCATTAGAGGCTTGATGACAGGTTGGACACACCTCATTATAGAAAGGACAGGGGTTTGTACTACACACTAATTCAATCTGCTGTACTTAAGTTTGGATATATTTATTTGGGTAGGAGCTTAACAGACTGCAAAACAGAATTTAGCTGCTACTAATGTGCTATTGAGTAATATAACTATGGGGTGTGACTATAGACTCATAAGCTAACTGTTTTATCTATTTTGCACAGCCTGACATCACAGCAGACTCATAGCTGTCTCTGTTTACAGAAAGGCCTTTTTTTCAGGTATATTCAATACAGGAGTATGAAAGCATGCATTTGTTCAAGATGAAGACACCTTTTCATTCAAAGGCAGCTTCATATTTGCATAGTTACATGTTTTGAAGTTTTTCTGCCTACATGCAAATCTGTTAGCGAGGGCTTAAAAAACATCCCATGAGAAAAATAGATGAAGGACTAACAAATATTTATACGCCCCATTGCTTTGAAATGTGCTACATGTTAATAAATATTTCCATATTACTCCTGAGATAGTTGTTAAAGCTGAGACTGAACCTATTTCTGTACGGACTCCTCTGCCAAGTTTCTATCGAACAATCAGGACATCGTATTAGTCAACAGAATGGAGAACTATCTGCTGCTTTTAGGTAAGAAAAAAGGATAATTTGGGTAGAATTTAAAGGATAAGGCCTATTTATTTCTAAATGGAAAATGACTAAAGAAAAAAAAAAGGTTTCTTTGTTGTAGAAACTTTCAAAAGAAGAGTTAATATTCTTGTTTCAAATTGAGTTATAGTGAAATAGCGAAATTGACAAATTCCTTGTTGAATTGCTCTCCAACACTGTTCTGTGTACTCTTATAAATTATGAATGTTAACAAACCAAATGCACTATGTTTTTCTTCTTTTTTTAGTCTCTTTTTTAATGTACTCATCGTTTGCTTCAGGTTAGTTACCTGCATTGATTTTTATACACTTTTTCTGAAAGTGCATTGTAATCAAATTTCGAACACTTAATTTTTAGGCAATATGATCAGATTAGCTGGAACCAATGAGTTGTGTTCTGGAAGAGTTGAAATATACCACAATGGTGTCTGGGGAACAGTCTGTGATGATGGCTGGGACCTAATTGATGCTGAGGTGGCCTGCAGACAGCTAGGCTGTGGTCCTGCTTTGGGGGCTCCTCAGTCTGCCCACTTTGGCCAAGGGACTGGACAAATCTGGCTGGACAATCTGGCATGCTCGGGAAATGAA